TCAGGCATCCTGGGAGCACGGGCAGCTGCCGAGTGACAATGACACCCCTGTCAGGTTTATGGCTGCCATTAGCAGTGGTGGAGCTGACAAGCATTTATATACAATTCAGCAACCGGGGGGACGAGAGGGCAGGATGGTGTCCTGGGGAGCAGAGTTAGAGCCTCAAACCTCATTTTGGGATGTTTCTGAAAACACTTCTTTTTTTTTTTTTTTTTTCAATTCCCACTCTGAGGTTACTTTTACAAGTTTGATTGGACTACAACCAAAAAAAAATAAAATCTTCTCACGAATTGAAAGCCCTGTACTTCAGCCAGCTCCACTCTGCAGTTTAATTGCCTTAAAGCAGAGGCCATGTGCTGTGTTCTCTCAGGGGTACACGGGAAGGTGAAATGAAAGACAGTGAAGAAAAAAATAAAAATAAAAATCAACCCTTAGAATAAAATGAAATAGGACTGCTTAAGGGCTGCAGCAGTCTAAAGATCAACAAGAGGAAGACATCTCTCAAGGACAATCCTTCCTTCTCCGTGCCTTTTCTACAAGTACGTCTTTCCAGCTGATGCTCTCCTGCTCCCCCAAGCACACAGCCACAGTCCTTGCTTATAATACATGTGCTTTGAAAGGTTTTGCAAGTTTAATGGGATGGTCATCTTCTCAACAAAAAACATTTCAGAGGGAGTAAGACATCACTTTCCAACCTCCGGAACAAATTAACCTCCCTGCTGACAGGCTGTATTTTTCAAGTCTCTAAATGGTGATTTCTGATGAGATTCCTAAGGTTATGACTTAAAAGTTGCACTCTGTATTTCATTTTGAAGCAGTGCATCCCTTTAGCGGGCTGCCAGATTTATTATTCCAAAAGCTGGGACTGTACATCATGTGTTTAGAAAGGTCCAAAATATTCTGAAGGGAGCTTTCCCATCACATGTGAGCTGCTGTTGTGTATCCATGTTGACTACCAGCACTCAGTTAAACATTTTTAGATCAAGTGCATTTTAATACCATGTAGATGAGGCCCTTATACTCTTGCCATAGTCACCTTAGATTTGACAAGTTCTACTGCGGAGCAGTCTTCCTGTATCCCCCAGAGTGATAAATTATTTCTGAGATCCTAGGAACTGGGGTTCATATCCTTCATTGTTTCATAGGCACTTACAAACCTGCGCAGGTACGAAATAAAGGTACCCCAGTAGAAAAAGGAAGAAGAAATGGGTGTTCATGTCTTGTTTTCTCAGAGGATAAAAAAAGTAAAAAAAAAGGTCTCTGCAGCTGTGTGGCACACAGACACTGCTCCTGCAGATTCACCCCTATTCTGCCATGCCTCTTCCCATCCCCGATGGAGCACACTTCCATGGTCCTGTCAGGGCATCTCATCTCTATCGTCTGTGTGCACCATCTGAACTACAAAAGACAGCATCGCTGCTTCATGCCTGCAGAGAGAGGCTACAAATGGTGCTATTGCCATTCCTTCTGACTTTGATCTGACAACTTCTGTTTCAAAAATAGCTAAAAAACCAAACCCAAACTGCTGAAGCCAATTATAGCTTAATTTTAATTTCTCTGCACTGCAGAAAACAGTGGGTCTTGGATACGCAAGTTCTGCCACATGAGATGTTCAGAACTTATGAACTTCTATGGCACATAAGCATAATACATACGTAAGCAGTGAAGCTGTAAGTCAATTTCTTTTGCCTTTTTTTTTTTTTTAAATACAAAAGTTGTCCATCTATGTAACAGAGTTAAAAACAAATGACGGAGAGCAAGACAAGATACATCACTCAGCTCCATGTACCTATTTTGTTATATTTCCTCTCTAATCCACAAAACTCAGAAAGACAGAAACTTTCCTACAGTCCTGAGTAGTATTTTCTTTTACTCCTCCTCATTATGTCATGCGAACTTAATTTCAACTCTTGAACAAAAGCTTTTCTGACTTCATGGCAAAAAAGGCAGGCATCAAAATAATTTGAGGGACATCAGTAGCACTAGGTAGACAGAGTGAAGATGATCCCATCAGCTAAAGACACAACCCTGAGTACCTTCTTTGAGAAGAAGGGTTTGCACACACCATTCTGGATAAGCAAGTTATGCAGAATCCCAGAGAAGGTCTCTGCACATGGTAAACAATCCAATTAGACTGTGGTCTCACAAAAGCAACCTGTTTCCTATGAAACAACATTGCTTGTTTTTGAATGAGCAGATTCAGCAACATGAAAAGAAATAGGGACTCAGTTTGCTACGTCCTGTAATGCGAGGATCAGAAATGTGGAAAGTTGGACCTCCCTCCCTTCATGAATTTAGTTACTGCAATCAAGTGCGTAGATTTTTAAAACAAATTCCTAGGAGGACATTTTAATGAATAAACTAATGAAAGTATAATACGTAACCAAAACCATTTACTCAATTTAAAGAATAAAATCCTTTGCATTTTTCTCATCTGCTCTGTAAAGCAGATATTTACAATTTTCATTTATTTACATTAAAATCTCATGAAAGACATGTACCAGATTGCGTCTGACAGACTGCCATGTATTATTTCCAAATTCCAGTTAAATGAAAAAGCAGAGAGATGACTAATGCCGAACTTCTTATTTGAATTTACTCAACGCTGTGGAGCTTGACAAAAAAGGGACTGGGTACAAAACAGTGCATGGCTGGACAGAGTGAAAACTATATAGGTTGATTTAAGCCTTCGATGTAACTCAGATCTGCCTCCATGTGGAACAGAGCAATTCATGCAAACTCTACATAATTGGAGACTTGGATAAATGGGACCAAAAGCTGAACCTTTTCCAATTTCAGCTTTAATACTGCAAAAGATACAGCCTACACTTCGCAAAACAGAACTTTTCCTTCTTTTTTCTTGGTCTGGAAAAGGATTACTGCACTGCAAACTGTCTGTAGCTGCTGACACTCAAAGCACTTCATTGCTTAATGATGCACCACCATGATATTTTTGGGAACAACTGCATGTAACAGAGCAGCTCTATTGCCTTAAGTGCCTCTGCAGCAGAGGATTCAGAAGATCCCAGTAAAGACACCTCTGCAGCAGACTTGTTTACTGAAAGAACAGAATTTGACATTTAAAATAAACAATTTGACATTCTGTTATAGTGTAACATAGCATCTCTTAACTGGAAAGTGGAGTAGAAACAGCAACAGCAGAGGCAGAGAAGGGTTTAGGGTAACTCACTTGCTGAGTTCACTTGAACTGATACGTGTTAATTTAGCTGAAGATATTTTTTTTAAAAACAGCATAGCCAAGAGCAAGATTAAGCAAAAAGCCACAGAAAACAATAAAAGATTACTTTTGGTTTGCTTCTGTTCAGCAAGGGCTTTTGCTGGCAGACCGATAAATCACAGTTTGTTTAAACAGCTACTAAGCATTTACGCTTTCAAGACGGAGGTGTTAACCTTGCTGAAGTAGCTCTGCCTCTGTGACATTAATTTCTAGTCCAACCATTCTGGTAACTTACCTGTCTGAAACTCTTGATTCACAGTGGTTAAAAAAAGAATACATATTTGTAAACTCCGACCATAACAGAAAGCAATACTAAAACACAAACCTTCCAATTTAAAAAGGAACAGAAAACAACTAATCTGATACAAGGCAAAATTATCAATTTGTTATTGGAGATTGTAGTTGCTGGTTTCTCCTCCCTGTACTGAACAATTCATTATTGCAATTACAGATTAATGGCATCATTATCTTCTATGTTTTCTTTGTCTCCTATTCTTTAACAAAGACAGTAAATATTAGTTGAACAGAAACTCACCAGTGGAGTGTCTTTCCCCCCAACGATGCTGAGTCCTAGGCCTGACCGACCCTTAGATATCTCTATAGTCATCTCCTGCCCTGGAACTATAGGACACGTTGCTGGATCCACAGGCAATGGAGGTGGAAAGATGCCTAAGAACATGAAAAGGTAAAGACATAGGTCACATTATTCAATGAGAAAATGAAAACCATCAAAGGAATCGTATGAGAGCAACTAATTAAGCTCTCGTATTTTGCCTTCACCTTTAGCAATCTAATTTGAACTAGAAGACTACTCTGAGTCACTTCTGAAGTCTCCGAATCAGAATGACTCTAGAGTTGCGGGAGTAAATGTTCAGAGTAGATGTCTGGGAGGACATCTAATTCAGTTATAACCTACACAATTCAGATCACGATGGCAAGGTGTATTCCATTCAGGACAGATAAGGCCATGTTCCAGCATCACAGAACGGGCACGATGTCCCAGATTGCCTTTCCTTCTATTTCAATCAAAAAGAGGAACAATGCCTTTGTACGTAAAAGTCAAGAAAAACAAGCAAAGACACTTTCAAGCTCTCAAAAATTGTGAAATGAGAGAAAAATACGAACACTTTATAAAATAACCTAAAGTAGGTCAGCAGATGTTTAAAGAAAAGATCTCAGCAAAAGTTATCTGGGGGAAAAAAAAAAAGAAAAAATCCATCCTGGGTTAGGGTGCTAAAGATACACTATATTGGTGGAAAAAATAACTGGTTCCTACTACGGTTGGTGACTTCTGCCTCTGGAGAAAGATAAGTAGGTGCTGGCACAAGGGGTATCTCCTGTAAGTTGACGGGTACTTTTGCTGAAGATTTGGATTGTTTGATCTGGTTGAGGACCTAAAAGCAAAGCAGAAGCAAAAGAGATCAGTTATCAATCACAGAAAGGCATGTTATGTGGACATTATCATTAGTTTTTGATTATCATACCTTACTAAATCAATTAAGTCTATAGAAAGGAAACAAGCAATAAGCATAGATGAACTGAAAACATTCTCTTCACAAACAAATGGAAAATCAGGATAACGGGATAACTGTGCTTCTAGAAATGCTCATGAAGGAAACAGGGACACAACTTCACTCTTCTCAGTTGTGCCTCTCATATAAAATAATGTGGGTTTGTTTGGGTTTTTTTTACTTTTAAACAGCAAAGAACATCCATGACATTAGCCTGTGTGACTATTTCCACATACTTAAAGAGAAGCAAGTAATTTTTTAAGTTTCCACCAAGAAAATTATTTTAATGTCTTCCCAGTTAGCCCCTTCCCCCCATAAATCACTCAATTTTCAACTAGATCAAGCCCCCAGAACCCCCCTTATTGGTTAACATAAACACACATACATTT